AAGTGCAAAGTGATGCTGCAGGACTGGGTTTCGTCTATTCCCGCTCTGAAACTAAATGGCCAGGAATTAGTTATGATGGATTACTTTTCTACTTAGGTTGTTGCGTGACTAATGACGGCAGTGCAGTGCATTTCCAAGGCTCGAGCAGCATACGAAGAACTGAAGCACCTTTGGCGTCGACGTGACGTTTCACCGAAATTGAAAGATCGTGTAGATTGTGCTAGCGTTCGTTCAGTCCTGCTTTATGGTTGTGAGACCTTGAATTTGCGAGTAGAGTATATCCGTCGACTGGAAGTTTTCGATTATCGGTGTTTACGTAGTTTAGCCCACGTTGGATGGAGCGACCGGGTTAGTAACGTGGAGGTAAGCCATCGTGTGTTGGAGACAGTGAAGGATATGGCAGCGAACCGACAGCAGTGGCGTTCTTGTTGTCCTTTCTTATCAGGTCAGAATGCTTGAAGCGGTATGTATGCGGAGTTCGATTGTGTACCCTGTGTGTTGACCATAGTGGTTCACCTTGTTCTCCCTCCCTCAAAATGGGTCCAATCCCTGTCCACCTTAAATTTTTACCACTAACCTTGTATACATTGCGAGTTTGGCAGCGATCACTGAAGGTCGCTTCGCTGTATTTCGCTGTACGATGATGATGCTGAGGCTGGATCTGGAGAACGGAGGGGGATGATTGAAGTAGGGTCTTGTATGCGTGTTTCGGAGGCGGCATACATCTAAATGGAAGATTTAAGGGTTCTAGCTGGGGCAGCTTGTTGACCAATCTGGTAGAGTGTGAGGACATTGAGTGCAGCTAAGTGAAAAGGGGATTTTGGTTTTCAAAAATCTGGTAGCCTCGGAGTAGTTAACCTTATTAGTTGAACGCTGAGCTTCAGTTTCAGTTTGAACAACCATTAACCACGCATATTCGTGCGCCGGTTTTGGCTGCCCATTTGGATGAAGAATAGAAGAAAGGAAAGTTAAAAGTGGAGTCGAAAAGAAAATGGAGAAGTTCAGTGGTCTAAGGTTGCAAAGAGATTGAGAAGATGCACGAACGCCACTGGGTGCGACATCCAGCCATATCACTCAGTGTCTCTAACTATCAGTGAACATCATCTCGAGGTCCCCAGCCAGGGAACCTAACGGGGCCTATGTGACTTAGTCTCCTGGTTAGGGTTTTCATACCCTCATGCCAGATCTTAGTTTGACCACCCTTGACCCTTTTCCAACCGTTACCAGCCTCAGCAAACATCGCTCGCCGTGGCAACCTATTTCAGTTTTCAGTTCAGTTTGCACAACCATTAACCGTGCATTATCGTGCGCCGGTTTTGGTTTCTATCTTTCGGCTACCCATTTGGATGACATGCTGACATGCGTAACACATGCCCCAACCAGCGTAATCTATGGAAGTCGACCACTTGCTCCAGTTAGCGAGCGCGGTTACCTAAAACTTTGCACCTGACTTCAGCATTGTTCGTCCGACTGTCCCATCAGAATTGTGCAATGCTGCGTAGACAGCGATGTTCAAACACTGACAGTCTATCTTTGTCCTATTTTCTTAATGGCCAAGTTTCTACTCCATATAGCAGAACTGGCCGAACTGCTGCAGTATACACTCGACCCTTCACAGACAGCCGGATGTCGCGACGGCGTCACAGATGTCTCAAGTTGACAAATGCCAACCGAGCCTTCTGTATGCGAGCTGACACTTCATCCGTGATTCGTCCATCGGGTGATTTGTAGCTGCCCAGATAACAAAAATTCTCCACTTGCTCTATTACTTCCCCAGTTAGAGTGAGGCTGGGTGCTGGATCAACCCAGTCTTGTAGTAACACTTTACACTTTGAAGGTGCAAAGCGCATACCGAATATGGCTACACCGGCAGTCAAGTTATCCAGAAAAGTTTGTAACTTACCTGGATCTTCACTTAGTAGCACAATGTCGTCTGCGTACTCCAGATCAAACAGCCTGCCACTTGGGAGTAAATCTATGCCACTATCCTCGCACGAGGATAGGTCTGTTTCCATAATCAGATCTATAACAAAGTTAAATAGAAATGGAGAGAGAGGACAACCCTGACGAACACCACTTTCCATGGTGAATTAGGGCGAAAAAGTGCCGAAAACGCGGACTCGACTTCGGCTATTAGTATAAAGCAATCGTGATATTGAAATTAACTTCT